CAAGGCCAGCTGGACTGTGACCAAAAAAACATGGGATAAAACCCGACTCTCTCAACATGGCGAACAATGAGGGCTGATGAGAAGCCAAGGACAATGGCACGGGGTTTTGATCCTACTTAATGTGCTGGCTTTGTGGGAGCCTAGCCAGTTTGGATGTTCACCTTCCTAGATATGGACGGAGTGGGGAGGACCTAGGACTTACGACAGGGCAGGGAACCCTGACTGCTCTTTGGACTGGAGAGGGAGGGGGAAAGGAGTGGTGGGAGGGGGAGAAGGGTGGGAGGAGGGGGAGGGAAATGGGAGGCTGGGAGGAGGTGGAAACTTGTTTTTGTTTTTTCTCCTTTTCTCAATAATAAAAAATAAAAAATAAAGACTTTGATGATGAGATCATTCACTATTAGCCAGAATCTAATGCTTTAATAGCACCAGACTTTCAGAGGAGGGGAAAAACCATTCTGAAATGTTCACATAACATAATTATGTTAAGTTACACAGAAGGAGATGTATACCTGATCGTTCTCAGCTCATTTCTCACAGGCAGGCCTTGAAGACCTCATCTCTTCCTATAGTGGAGTAATTCTATTGGAGGTATGTACTGTATTTTTCTCATAAGTCTCTCCACTTTTTAGGCAGCCATAAACGTTCTCAAAATTAAGACAGCACGCAAAGTATTTCAGCCTGCAAACTACAAGCCAATCTGGGTCCAAATGTCCTATCTACCCAGAGAAGTAGGTGACACTGTATACTTGCCACCAGAGGGAGCAGGGAGCCTCCAATGCACCCAGCTCCCTTCTGTCACTAAATTTACTCCTCACCCTTTCAGTGGCTCCTTCTGGAAAACACCATTGGTACAATCAAATTATCATCTAATTCCTATTATTTTTACCTAAATATAAGATAATAGAATACTTTTTATTTGGAAATAGCACAACATTGCAAAAGGAATATGCATGTTAGAATAAACTGTGGGCATACTGAATGTGATAGGACAAGGAAACGTTTTCAAAGACAAACATGAGAATCGTTACATACTCTTAGGAATAAAAATCCTTGGCCACAATGATAGAAAAGAAATGTATCCCAAGGTTGAAAGGTCAGTTGCCAGGCAGATGTCCTTGTAGGCATTTCTTCTATAGAATTTCAGTGGCCTCTGGGCAAACTTGTGATGCAGACTTTTGATAGTTTCTGTAGGCATCCATTTAAGAACCATTCTTCCTAAACCTCTCCATTCTTGTTTATTTCTTGTTGTATTGGTTTTGAGACCGGGTCCTACCATGTCATCCAGGCTGGTCCCAATATGCAGTGAGTGATTCTTTCTGCCTCATCCTGTGAGTAGCAGAACTATAAGCACATGCCACCAACCACATAGAGCTTACTTACATTTGTTTTTGTTAAAAGTCCCTGCATATCCTCAACCTTCCCATTTTTGTCTGATTTCCTATTGCTAAAATGCCTTTTTTGTGTACTGTGATTTGACCACATTTCCATGGGATTCCTGAAGTGGTCTTTTGCTTGGAGAAGAAAGACAAACAGAGGTGTCTTTCTCTTTTCTTTTCTACTTTTCTTTCTAGCCAGAATCCAAGAGCAGCCATTCTACTGTATGTTTTGCTTTTCTCACGCAGCTGTCTCTTGCTCGACACACACAGTGTACCAGTTCACTGGGTTAGTAACTCTTTACATAACGGCCTTCGTACCATACAAGGGAGAAGGTAGCAGTTGGGGGAAGAGGTGAAAGAATTTTAAAACTCTTGGAAGAAAATAGTTGAAAATAAACTTTACTGCCAAAAATGAGGGCATAATCTAATAAAACTCTAAAATCTTTGTAACTGATTTTGTTTTCACATGTTTGCTGACCATTGCTAGGTCAGTGCCCTACAGGTCAGGGTACTAGTAACCATTAAGGTTATTGGTTGTACCTGGGTCTTATTTGCGTCTCTTATTGTGCCCCTAGAAATGAACGAGAAACATAATAGGTAGGAATTCCTGTGCTTTAGCAGTCTATGACGCCATCACACAAGGGCCACCAGTACAGTTGATGACACTAAGAAAAACTTTTACATTTAAATTATGGGATGCTGAGCTGGGCGATGGTGGCGCACGCCTTTAATCCCAGCACTCGGGAGGCAGAGGCAGGCGGATCTCTGTGAGTTCGAGACCAGCCTGGTCTACAGAGCTAGTTCCAGGACAGGCTCCAAAGCCACAGAGAAACCCTGTCTCGAAAAACCAAAAAAAAAAAAAATTATGGGATGCTATTTATGGTTAAAATGCTTCCAAATTCTAGCAACATTAAGAAAACCTGTCATTTTACAGTTCATAAAACATCGATGTTAGAACTCTAGGCTGATGGGAACATGCAAATGGAATCGTCAGGGATAAAGGCCGCGATATTAGATGGCAGAGTCAAGGTGCACATCACTCATCTGCGCACAGTAGGAGGACACAAGAGAGGTAGGTAGCTATCAAAGGCTGAGGGATGGCCGAGTCCTAAACAAATGTCCACTTGAGTTGCAGGGATGTCAAGAAGGCCAGTGTGATGGACAGGTTAAGTGAGTGAAAGACTGAAAGGAGATGAGGTCACAGGACTGAAGTGCTAGATCACAGTACAGGCCAGAAGAGAGCATCAGATCCCCTGGGGCTCGAGTTCCAGATGAGCTACCTACAGGAGCTGAGAAATGAACCTAGGTCCCGTGTAAAACCCGCAAGTGCTCTTAACTGCTAAGCCGCATCTCCAGCTGCATGGGCCCCATAATTCACATCTTTAACATGTTTCCAGATGAAGCACTAACCATCCCTAAGGAGCAAATTACATCACCATATAAAATACTCTCTTGCAAGGAGACCTAGACAACTCAACCCATCTCTATTTCCCCCTAATCTCTCTCTTTATTTGAACAAGTGTCTGCAATAATTTGTGTGCACTTGGAAGCTAAGAAGCATTTCACACTTCAGGGGCTGGCATCGAAAGGATTTCAATAGGAAATATATATTTCAGAGACAAGATCCTATGAAAAATGCCCTTCTCACATCTCGGGCAGACTAAGTAGTACTTGTAAGGACGTTAAAACTGAATTTGCATTGACAAAATGAGTAACTTCAAGACAAGTCAAAAAGGCTTAAAGGTTGCCCGCCGTCAGCCTTCCATTAGCGTATAAGAATCTTGTGAGGCCCAAATCTACACATGGTTTTCGAATTTCACCCCAGGCTCATGTGCAGATACTCTGTAATTTTGTTGCAGGGAGGGGGGCGCTAGGAAGATAGCTCACTCAGTAAAATGCTTGGCACCTGAGTCTGATCCCTAGAACCTGTGTTTAAAACTGCAGTACTAGCAGGAGGCTGTAATCCCAGCACTGGGGAGGCAAAGGCAGGTGGGTTCCTGGGTGTCCCAAGAGAGCCTAGCTTATCAGTGAGTTGCGAGACCATGAGAGAGCCTGTTTATGGTCCTACAGAGGAATATCACCTGAGATTGTCCTCCGTCCTCCACACACTAACAAAACTGTCACCCAAGTCTAGTTAGGATAGCTGGATCTCTGTGTGCCAGCCCAATACTGCTCCCTCTTCTTACAGAGTCAAAGTGATCGTCGTCCCTAGTAGACATGTACAAGGTAACCTGTAGCCTCAAAACATCTGGAATCTTAATCCAGAGATTTAAGAAGTGATTTATTTAGAGACCTGAGTGACATTTGGGACAAGTAAGTGAGTAGATAAATAGTGGGGAGAGAAAGTATTGAGTGTGAGTCTCTTCCAGTCTTCTCTTATTCATTCAGGAAGAAATTGTATTGTTAATTTGAGGAGGAAATGACCATCATGTTTGGGAAAATGGGATATAGGCTATCCAAGATCCCATCTACAATTAGACTTGGCTGAATGATCACAGAGTGGATGAGAATGCCAGCAAGAACTCAGGGCTAAAGAAACTGCACAGAAGGTGAGTCAGGAAAGTACCTGTGTTGATGGCAGATTTCACGTGCTGGTGGAAGTGACTCAATTCTACCCTCCAGGAAAAGGGAACAAAAGGACCAAGAGAATCCCGTTCTTTCCGCCTTTCAACTCAGTCTTAGCATGCTGAGTTTCTTTACATGACTTAGTAGCTGCAATTCACTCATGCCCACATTCTTTACTAGGAAGGCAGAGGCTTTCTGTGTTGCACCGACCTTCCTTTAGCATCTACACAGCTCTGCTATGTCTCACTAGACAGAACCTGCGACAGCCCACGCGCAGATGGAGAGATCATTTGGTCTTAGGCTATATTATGCTGAAGGCGAACAAGCATGGAGACATCAGCGATGTCGGAGCTAGTAACCCTAGAGTGTGCACTGTCGCCTTTTCCTCCTCTTCCTCCTTTCTTCTCCCCTCCTATCATTTCTTTTTTTTAAAAAGATTTATTTATTTATTATATATACAACATTCTGCTTCCATGTATGCCCACACGTCAGAGGAGGGTGCCAGATCTCAGTACAGATGGTTGTGAACCACCATGTGGTTGCTGGGAATTGAACTCAGGACCTCTGGAAGAGCAGCCAGTGCTCTTAACCGCTGAGCCATCTCTCCAGCCCCCCCTCCTATCATTTCTCTTCTTTCCTCCACTCCCTTCCACTCTTCTTTGGTCTTGAGGACCAAAGAAATTCCTTCTAATTTTATTTTTGCACTGAATTGATCCCAGGCTTTCCATCTGAAACCTTAAGTCTTAAAGCCTGAATCACCATGATTTCTGACAACTTCACGAGTAGTTGAAAAAAAAAAAATTACCTTCCCAGGTAGCGTGGCCAATCATGATGGCCTGGATGCAGCAAGTCACTACCGGAAAAGTTCTGGCTCAGCCACAAACTCCTCTCCTTTTGCCCCGCCCCTTTAATAATCGTACTTGTCTGAAGCCAGAGTTGGCCATTTTGGATCCGGGCGGAAATGAACTCCACTCAGGCCGGCTAAAACCCCAAACATTAAACTAGGACACCTGTGCAATCAAGGTTAAAAACACACGCAGACGGGTTTCTTTGCAGCCAGAGTAGGCTGCTGAGAGCAGGCGCGCGGGGCAGGCTTCCCCGGCGCCCAGCCCTGAAGATGACACAGGCCCGAGCATCACCTGCGCGGCCGCTCTAGCTCGGTTCCGGGTTCGCGCACCTCGGTGGTGGCGTCGGAGGAATTGGAGGCCGGTCTGTTGACCAGTTTCCGGGCCCTGGTGGTGCGGTCTGAGCCCGGTGCTCGGGAGACTGTGGGTGGAGAGGCCTAGGCCTGCGCGTCGGAGCCAGCCGCCAGCCTTCTCCCTCCGCCCGCAGGTAACCGGGAGCCTAGCGGCCAGGGCGGCGGGGCAGGGCGGGAGCGGGGTCGCCGCTCGCGGAGAGCGCTGGGGCGGCCGGTTGAGCGCCGCCTGCTCCGGCGTGTTCGGGGTGCCCTCTCCCTGGCTTTTCGGGTGTTCCCCCGCTCGGTGGAGAGCAGAGCAGCCGGGCCTGGAGTCTAGCAGGAAGGTCGCGCGGTGCAGGGTCCCAGACAGCGCCAGGCCCCCAGGGGTTTCTTGCGTAGAATAAAAATGACGCTTTTCTCCCAAAGTCATTTTTTTTTTTTTTGGCAGAAATTGGGGATCATAGTTACCGCTGGTTTGAGGGACTCGTGTGTATCCTGAGCTGAGGTCAGGCAGGGTACTTTTAGACAGCAGAGACATGATCACCTAGCACTGTGGTTTGAGTTCTTGACCGGAACGGCCATGGCTGAAACCCATCAAAGCACAGGGCTGCTAGGTTTATCACCCAAGAGCTAAGTGCCAGCGGATAAGGCATAGTCTCAGGATTCTCGGAATGGTGTAAGCTTTGGCACTTTGAAGCTAAGGAAACGGGAGCCAAGAGAATCTCTACTGATTGTTGGGAGAACTGACATAATTCTCTCAGAGGACACAGGTTTTATGGTTGAGTCTAGATGTTGCCCAGTGAATTAGGCAAGGGTGCTTCCCAGCCACAGGTGGTCCCTTCTGAAGCTTCACCTGAAGCAAAGAAAGAAGGTTGGAGGAAAATAGGTAAACGAGGTTTTTTTTTTTTTTTTTTTTTTTTTATAAAGAGAGCTATGGTGAATATTCACATCCGAGGAGACTGTCAACTCACCGTTTCACTGTAGAAAGCAGAAGTGTATTCTGTAATTTGTCTGTGCCATATTAGAATAGTCTTTTCTACCTTCAGGTGGCTTTCCGTTTCAAATGTATGTGGCACTATTTCATATTTTCCTCCACACTCGCGAAACCACGAAAGAATATTTGGAGCTCGGAGTGTTATTTGTGCCTTGCATTCCAGTACGTTCTCAGTTTTAAAAGTACTGGTTATGTCAATAGCGCCCCTGCCCCTACCGTGGTGGGAAGACCCAATGGCCACGTTAGGGTGTTGTCAAATCCAGTCCTCAGTACCTTTCCCTGCTGCACTGGGCATAGAGCTCTGCTCTTCGGTTGGTGTCAGTAGACAGCTCTCCGTGGCCAAGCTTTCAGGACAGCAGTACAAGGCATTCCATTTCCAGTAGAAGCGGAGTCATCCCTTTTTTAAAGTGATTTTTTTTTTTTTAGGGTCATAGGCAATACACTGCTGTGAAAAATGAGCAGCTTTAGGATCTTTCTAATCCTTTTGGAAACCTCAAGTTATTATCACGTGTGTACTTAGAATACTGAATTAAAGGTTAATAGATATTCTAAAGCCTGGTATTCCAACAAGGGCCTGTTTTACTATTGAGAATGAATAAATTAAATGTCCATTGTCCTTGCCTTGGATAGCATAGCTCAGGAACCTTGAGGACTAACAATGAAACTCAGGCTCATGACTTCCTGCCAGGCAGACACTCACCTTGTAGTTCCTCCTTCTGTTTTTCTTTTATTGTTTGCTGATCTTGAAAAGTTTTGTTTTGGAATGAGCCAAGAATGCAGGCCAGCTCCACCTTCTTTTCAAAGTAACCCTTCCCTAACTCATGCCTGTGGTGTTTCAAGCAGGGGTTAGAGTGGAAATAGCGGTTGGTCTCAAAGAGCGTAGGCCAGTCAGAAAAGCTACGAACTCTAAGAGAGTTAGTGAAAAAACTATCAGAAACTAGCTCGTCATCCTCCAGACCTGAGACAGGTCTGAGATGGGGGTGCTGAGGGTGTGTGTCTGGCCCTTCCCCCAGCCTGAGCTTGTTATGCCACTACCACTCACTGCCTCGGTGCAACCAAGTTTTTGCTCCCCCTTGCCTTCCTACAACATAGCTCCAGTTCCACCTCCTGCTGCCCCGTCTCCACCCTCTGGTCCCCCCCAGCTTCAGATGTGCTACTAGTGATGGAGAAAAGCCTTGCCCAGTTCTGGTGAGTCTGCGCCTTTGTTCCGGTTGTGGACACTGAAGACAGTCTTCGAGTTGACTGCTCTTTGACCTGAAGCAAGTCATTAACTTTGACCAGGCGCCTGAGGAAGACCCTCACTGAGCAAGCACTATGCATCCCCAGATAAATGGAGTTGCTTTTCTCCATTTCTGCATGAACTGTTTTTATCTGTTGTTCCAGTCAAAAGTGGGTGTTTCTTATAACTGAGGCTGTTGAATATTTTAATATTGTTCTTAATGTCACTTCTTTTTATTTATATTTTGAAATTAGACCTTAATTATATCATTCCCCTCTTTCCCTTTTCTCCTGCATACACACACACACACACACACACACACACACACACACACACACACACACATATGATGTCAGGGTTGACCACTTGCTATTGGACTTGCAGTTGGGCACTCTTCCCTTTGGAAGAACACTTCTGATTCCCAGCATTCCCCAGTTGCTGTAGTTCTTTGGCTGGGGTTGGGGGAGCTTTCATCCTTTCATGTTAGCATGTCCATTGGGGTCCTCGTTGTTCAGGTCTTAGTTAGACAGGCATGTTAATGAGACTGGATGGTATCACCTCTTTGGCTTTCTAATAGATACAATACCACAGCAAACTTCCTGTTCCTCTGGCTTTTACAAGCCCTCTCTTCCTCAATTTTCCCTGAGCCTAAGAAAGATAAATTGCTAGGGACATAAGAGCTCAGTGCGTTTGCTAAACAGCGAAGTTAGTTCTTACCTACAGACAGTCTTAGATTTTCTGTAGCTTTTTCCCTAGTGCATTTTGGGTTCCTTGCGAAGTGTACACATCCATACATGTTTTAAATTCTATGGCAGGCTTCTTTTTTAAGCATCATTACATAGATAACAAATTATTCCTTGGCTCTTCAAGTGGAAGGAAAATCTAAGTCAAGAGAGATTTGTGTCGTGACTATTAGATTTGTATTTATACAAAGACTATTTTTGGGAGATGAGGGGTTCAAGACAGGGTTTCTTTGTGAACTCTATCCTAGAACTCACTTTGTAGACCAGACTGGCCTTGAACTCAGAGACCAACCTGACTGCCTCCCAAGTGTTGAGATTAAAGGTATGCACCACCACCACCGTCTAAGACTGTTTATTTTTAACTGCAAAGTTTTACAAGCCTTTATAAAATTTGTGTGTGATTGGGTTTGCGGAAGGAAGTACCTGTGACTGTGTGGTGGCACACATTTTCTCTGGAGTTGTTAGTTGTTAATTAACAAGCATTCCTGATAACTTGCTGTTCGTTGACCATTTGTGATATCAAATGAAGCTGTCATCACTGCAGAAATGACGTAAGTTTGAATGGACATTTCGGTGTGAGCTGGAGAGCCAGCTTGGCTTATATTGCAGATATGTAATGTTTTCTCCTATGTTTTAGACCTGCTTGATCTGAGGAGGAACTGCCCCACTGCAGAAGGGATGGGATCAGAGAACAGTGCTTTAAAGAGCTATACACTGAAAGAGTCGCCGTTCACCTTGCCCTCTGGACTTGCTGTTTATCCCGCCACACTGCAAGATGGGAAATGTGCCTCCGTGTTTGTATATAAGAGAGAAAATGAAGACAAGGTTAACAAAGCCGCCAAGGTACTGTAATGGGGTTATCTTCATAGGGTTTTTTATTGTTTCCTCTCCAGTGACCTTCCTAAAGATGGAGGGAGGTGTGGTCACAAGCAGTGGTATTTTATTATCAGTGTCCCATAAAAAGTTGTTCTGCCCCTAACACACCATCCCCACAGCCAAAGAGCGTCACACAACTCATTGTGATAGTTTTTATCACAGGGCTTTTAAGGAGAATGGTAGGTGGGTGACTTCACATGGCTGACCTAAGAGATGGGATTAATCTAGTTTAACAAAAATGCTGTTTATTGATGTGCTCATTAGTGTGTTGATGTATTGAAAATATAGTATTTTAGGAATTTTATGTTATCTCTCTTGCCCCGAAACATTGTAATGTCACAGCATTTTAAAAAGAATTTTATTTGTATTCTTTTGTGTTACCTGCTGAGCCGTCTCTCCAGCCCTTGCCCCGACATTTTTAATTTGTGTGTTAGATTGGCTGTCACAGACAGAGTGTTTAGTCTGCCTTTGGTTCTTGGTGAGAGACCTTACAGGGTCGCTGACTTCTGGAGGTATCCATTTTAGCCCCTTAGTTGAGAGTGTCACTGCAGTCGGCTTGCTGTGTGATTCAGTGTCAGGGACGGTGACAAAGAAATGAGGCCTAGGCTGGTGGCTCAGTCGTGCAGTACTCCCGTGGCGTGGCTGAGCAGGTGGGTCTGTCCTCCAAAAAAGAAAAAAAACAGGTAAAAAAGAAAAGGAAAACTAGCACCGAAAAAGAAAGAATGAGCCCACCTTGGAAGAATATCTCTAATAAAATAACCTGTTTTCTTAAAGAAAGCAGTGCTGTGTACTGGCAGTTCCTTGGATAACCAACTTTCGCATATTTTCTAACTCATCATCAGGGAGTTTCTAGAGAAAAACACAGTTGTGTTCCTGAGTTCCTTCTGCAGTGTTTCTGTATAGGACTGGGAAGTTTTCCATTTGAACTGATAGCTGTTTTGTTGGAATCGTGGTCTGTGTCACTATGAGTTCCTTTTTAAGAGTCCATAGATGGAGAACATAATTCCATAAGCTGCTTACGTGCTTTATTTCTTTAATGGCTATAAAGATTATGTTAGCAATATTGGTATTTCATTGCTCACACTCATTAGTTGTTTGATGTTATGTCTTAGATTAAACACAGAATTGGCAGTTTTGACATCTTCCTGTGGGAAAGGACACAGTTTTCTTTGTGTGTGTGCGCCTGCCCACACCCTGGGAGTGCTACATGCTGGGTAAAAATTGTTGGGAGCAGTGAGACCCCAGATCCTGATTTGAGTGCCTACAGCTGCTCTGAGCACGAGACCTTCAGGAGTTCCTGATGGCAGGAGAGTGGTTTCTGGTGGGTTTGGCTGGGGCGTGGCTATCTCTATATAATCTGCCCCTGAACACAATAAAGGGGGCATTCTTGGGGAATTCAAGGAGGACTCGTGTCGCTGTCTCTCTGTCTGTGTGTGTCTGTGTATTTTAACCTCCAGCCCCCTTGCCCGAAGCTCGTGAACTGGGTGCCAGCGCACAGAGCGCAGACACAGGGGCACGGTGCGCGGCAAAAAATCATATTTTTGTTTCTTTTCCACCCCATCTAGGTATTGTTAATGATTTTTATTGTGACTTTACAAAAGATGAGACGTCAGACTTTATACTCTTAGGTGCAGTTAGCATTTAACGTGTTCATTGACTTGCTCTGTTAGAGTGTGTGTTGTCTTCTATGACTTAAAGTGACTGTAGCCAGTGAGGCACTTATGCTTACAATCTTTCTACTTCCTGCTATCCCTAAGACTATTAATTACTACCTTTTGTAGCATATGGGCCCTGAAGTAAAAATAACACAGCTCATACTTTTTGTAAAAGAAAAAAATCCCAAAGATCTGCTTTTGGAGATGAAGACTTTTTGTGCTGAAAGAATTTTAAAGCTTAGAGTAAAGAGTTCTCCGCCGTCGTCTCTAGATTCCCTGTTAAGTCCTGGCTGAAACTTTGCAGCTAGCCCCTCCCTGTTTCTTCAGTCACACTGAGAAATCTGGGACGACAACAAAATGCTAAGGAGTTGGTGTTACCAGGATGTCTTCGAGTCTGAAGAACTGGCCATGGCACTTAAGAAGTATATGGCATGACATGTTGCTTTAGGGATGTCATGCCCTAGATACACAAGTACTAAAGCAACTGCAGTTAGCAGCCGCCTCTAGGGTGGGTTCCTGGTCCTACCTCTGAGAGATTCAGTTATTACTAGGAAACAATTCTATTCTTTCTCTACTACAAATTAAAACTAACAACCATACTATACTGTTGGCCTTTGGAAGAAGAAATGCAGCCATTTGGTTTGTCACAGAACAGTATAAATGGTAGCAATGTCTGTTAGACCACATTTTATCTTAAATGCATCAACTGTAACTAAGAGCATAGTCTTCTCACAGGGTCTCAAGTTCAGTTGTAGCCTACAGTCTGTAAGAAGTGAAACAGTCTAAGAATGTGGTTACTGTGGTTTGCTGCAGTCCAGATGCAGATAGGCTTCATGGGAATCACGAGCTTCTAGAAGTGGTCCCAAAGTCCACTGGACTCCAGCACAGCTGCACAGCTGTTCTCCAGCTGCTCTCTCTGGCATTCTCAAGTGCACATGTCCTTCATGGTGGAGTGTACCCCAAACCAATAACTGCCCAGACTTACTGTCTGAACTCTGCCCTGCATTTCCACCTGTCTGCCCGATACCTGAGCCTGGGTGCTCCACTGGGGCCCACTGTCTCCAGAGTTTATATTTTTAGTAATTATGCTTTTTATGCCCCTGTTCTCCCCTTTTTGGGGAACCTCATTACCTGTATTAGACCTTTTGTTATTGTCACACAGGTTCCTCTGGTGCTAATCATTAAAACAAGCAACTTTTTTTATTCCTTGGATTGGTTAATAGCTTCAGATTTCCTCACTCTATGCTATGGCATATTCATATGGTTAATGAATTCCTACCTTGAGTTTTTAATTTCTAATAATTTCCCATTAAAAATGGATCACATTCTCAGGCTGAATATATTTTGAATTCCCTTTTGAATATTTTAATGTTGCGTGGCAGAGATTATTGATTCTGCCACCAATTTAACCTTCCTTAGGTTCAGACCTCAAGTTCCCATGAATAGTAGTTCAAATTCCTTCCTCCGGTTAGGTCTTTCCCTGTGCCTGCTTGCTGACTCCAGAGTTTGAAGATTTATAGCTGTGCAGAAAATGGGGCCTTTCCTTCGCCAGCTCTCCACCCTTTGGGACAGTGGTCTCGTGCTCTGCCCTCCCTAGGTTCCTTTCTGAGTCTAGCCTGAGAGATACGGAGATTTTTGGTGCAGTTTGGTACCCTTGCTACCCTACTCCGTGCCTGAGGCCTGCTGTTAGTGTGTGATTCATGACAGGAGGAGAGCTGAGCTTCATTTTCACAGCTGCTGGACTCTGCTCCATAATCTGGGCACTTTGCAGAGTTCTTGGCCGTTTCTGGCATTTCATTCCAATTGCATGGCAATGATAGTTGGAGGGCGTGAGAGCTCCAGGGACTTATGAGGGAATAGGAAGTCTCTGTAGAATTATTTAAGCATTGGTAAATTGAATAAATTTATTAAACTTAGAACAGGTTATAGATTCTTTTTTTGTCCTTGAAGTCTGGGAGAGCATAGGGAAGTTAAAGGACTTTCAACAAAAAGCATGCCTTTATTACAGTGCGTATGAAACTGTAAGTAATGTGGCTTGAGTCATTAACTTCATCAACTCTCTGTTTGTATTTTAAAGCACTTAAAGACCCTTCGTCACCCTTGCTTGCTAAGATTTTTATCTTGTACTGTGGAAGCAGATGGCATTCATCTTGTCACTGAGAGAGTGCAGCCTCTGGAAGTGGCTTTGGAAACCCTGTCTCCTGCAGAAGTCTGTGCTGGAATCTATGACATATTGCTGGCTCTTATCTTCCTTCATGACAGAGTAAGTGGACTGACTGATGGGGACTGAAGTGACCTCTGCGTGGTGGTACTTAGAGACCGATACAGAGAGAAACTGAGCCAGGGTGGAAGGAACAAGGGATCCTGCAGATGCTTTGTGGACTCAGCAGCTACTTGTCTGTCTCTGAGCAGTTATTTTTTTGTTGTTGTTGTTGTTTTTTTTTTTCGAGACAGGGTTTCTCTGTGGCTTTGGAGCCTGTCCTGGAACTAGCTCTGTAGACCAGGCTGGTCTCGAACTCACAGAGATCCGCCTGCCTCTGCCTCCCGAGTGCTGGGATTAAAGGCGCCACCACCGCCCGGCCCCTGAGCAGTTATTTACACAGTTTTCTTTCCTTCTGCTGTCTCCTTGTTGTTTAAGTCTTTATCTAAACATGGCCAGTCAGGACTGGCTAAGAGAAAGGGCAGCCAGCCGTTGCTATGGACCAAAGCCCCTCTTTGTTTTCAGAAGCTCTGCTCCACTTTAGATTTCAAAGAAAGAAATAGCCATTTTTTCAGAAGAAATGGGTGGGTGAATCTAGTGAGGAGACAGCCCCATGGTTGGCTAGTAAGCTTGGCTCTGGTGATTTCTGGGATAGATGTCGGGTCTGTGCTCACTTCTGGTCTGTTTGTTGTCACTGTTCTGAGCTGTCACTGTATGGTGTCCATTCTGAAGCATTATATCTTTGGCAGTCTGCAGAGATGGGACGGCAGCAGCGCAGGCTACACATGCTGGCCACAGGCATCTCAGCATCTTAAAGCTGTTTGTCATGTGCAGTTTATAATTTCTTAGAATTTCAGCATCTGTTGAGGTTCACAGGACAGCAAGAACTGTTAATGCTTCATTGGGGAGGAATGTCTTTTTTGTTGATGAAAATCTATAATAGAAAAGCAGCAGGATTAGAAGGCGTGTTAACCCTCTGTCCCATCCTTGGATCAAATCTTCCTCTGAGACAACTGTGGTGCTCAGTGCATTCATTATTCCAGAGAAATTTTGTGTGAATGCCAAGCAAATATTTTATGTTTATTTTCCTATTTTTCTCAATGGAAGCATATTATACTGTTAAAAACCTTCCTTTACTATATATCAGAGTCTTCTGTATAAAATGTGTACACATTGGATCTTGTGAGTAGAATATCTAGTGTACTTTTTGTGTCCTGGAATGGATGATTTCTGGCTTGAAAAAGAAATTTAACTACTCAAACCCTGGTCTCATTTTCTCCTTCCTCATATTTATTTGAGTGTACTATTTTTTTTTTTTTTATAGTTTTAGACTAGAGTCTTCTGTGGCGGGTGGTGGTTCTTGACATTCCATTCCCCCTCTTCTGGTGGGATGTTGTTAATGCCTACTGACTGCCAGGCTTTCGGGTGGAGTGGTCTGGGTTCATGACAGCCTACAGGCAAGAGAGACTTTAAAGGGAAAGGGACATAATCTGCGGGAGCCCCTGTACCTTTTATTTAAGGTACTGAAGCAGCTGATCCAGGCCGTGGAGACTTGTGGATGTTTAAGGACGTGTGTGGCTCCTAATTCCCAAGGAATGGGAGTGATGCTGTCTGTGCATAGGATTTTGGTGTCTTTACGACCTTCCTGCCAGGTGGGGGCGCTAGGCAGAGCCTTTCCTTTCTTAGCTGCGTCTGGTTTGTTCATTTAAGCACAGCTCCATTGGTTATGCTGCGGGTGCCAAAGACCACATCGCACTGTGTGTGGTGACTAGTATTTAATTGTTTAAAACCTTCAGGTTTTGGGGTGTCAGTCTTGTTCCTTTTCTGTTTGTCTCTTTCCCAGGGACATCTGACACACAACAATGTCTGCTTGTCTTCTATTTTTGTGAGTGAAGACGGGCACTGGAAGCTCGGAGGCATGGAAACTGTGTGCAGAGTTCCTGAGGCCACAGCAGAGGTGAGTCAGTGATGGTGATGCGGGGTGGGTTTTGCGCCCCGGCAGTGTTCTTAACTGTTAGGATTGTAGATTTGAAGAGCTGAACTCTGTGTTAAAGCTCATGTTCAGAAAATTGTAGTGTTTATTGCTCAGAAGTTCTGAGGTTCGTGTATCCCGTATCATTTAGTATGTAAGGAGCCCAAGACTGAGAGGTAAATGGTTTATTCAACATTGAAGCCAGCTGCCCGCCTCTCTGTTCCCATAGCTACTTTGTGCCTCATTATGACGCTCAGTGCTAAGGTTGGCTTTTTGTGTTTCTTGTGTCCCGGCAGTTGCATGTCGGACTTTGTATCTCCTCCTGCGATAGCAGCTGCTGTTACGAGGCCAGGAGTGTTCACTGGACATTGTCTAAGCTGCCCCGTGTCAGGACACTATATTGTGTGGAGTTGTGGGTGAAGTTGTTGTTGCCATGGAACTTGCTATACATTCACCCCTAGTAGACAAGCTGCTCTATTCTCTGTTCTGTTTCTTTCACCTTTTGCATGTGGTTCCTGACTCACTTTTTCTAAAAGAAATAAAAAAATCACTCCATAATGTCAGAGGATGTCAGATTCCCTGTACCTGGAGTTATAGGCAGTTGTGAGTCACTTTACGTGGGTGCTGGGAACTGGCTTCAGGTCCTCCAAAAGATGGGGACACTCTCGCTTTGATGTGTTGGTTCAGTCTATCTTGGGCCGTTTCTACCCTTAGACCTTCATGAGTGGTGCTGTGTTCTGAGGCTGCCAGTTCTGTAAATCCCCTCTCCTTACCACTGTCTCTGTTGCACACTTTCTTCTCTGAACTCACCTCCGATCTGACTAGTCTGTAGTCCATAGCATGAATTCTTTGCCATGGGGCACACAGCTCCTCACAGTACCTGCCCATTCCACCTCAGCTCTGTTTAGCACCTACAGCCCCACACTCCTGAGCTGTTGCTTACACGGGGAGCAGCTCAGATGCTTCCCTGTTTTCTGATGTGGTTCTGCTGCCGAACCGCCTTCTTCCTCCTGTTGGCCTCCTAGAAAATGGAAACACAGATCGAGCCTAAGTCCATCTGAATCCTTCCTCATCTGAAAGAATTAAAATCACTACTGTGGGCTTCGTGGTGCTCGGCACATCTATTAGAACTGCTAGCTTCTCTCCAGGTTGTAAGCACTGGCTGGGGACAGGAGATCCTGTCCATTCATCTCATAGTCCTTGTGCCAGAAATGGCATTTTGGAAATGTAAGCTTTTCAGAAATAATCTTTGGATAGGTGAATAGGTGTGCCTATTCAGTGGGTGTTGTTTTTATCTGTACAGCCCATATGAGCCTCACATATGGCTTGTGACATATGGTCTGAGCCTTAATGTCTTGTGACAGCAAAACTTATGATTCCCATGTTATAATAGGTGGTAAATTTTTGTTGTGTGCTAACCCCCCCTCCACCCCCCCACCAAAAAAAGGATCTCACTATGCCTTCCAGGCTGGCCTTGAGCTTATATGCTCAAGTAACCTTGCTTCAGCTTCCTTACTAGTGGCCACTATAGGCATGGGCCATATCTGACCAAAGCATCTTTCAGCTATTCTGTCTGTCTGTGGGAAAGTGGGTAGTTAGGCCTCTGATGACAAGCCCAACGGAAGAACAGCTGCCACTGATGCTTCCTGCGCCCATACTGTGCTGGGGACCACAGTCACATCAAATTAGGAAGGCTGGACATTCAAAAGTGGGGTGTGAGGCACTGATCAAAAGGTTTCCTGGCTCCTGTTTCCACTGCTTGTTTCTTTTTTAAATTGAACTAAGATTAAGTTACCAAATATGAGTTATTTTTCTTAATTTATTTCTTTGTCTAGTTTCTCAGGAGTATCCAGTCAGTAAGAGACCCAGCGTCTATTCCTCCTGAGGAGATGGTGAGTAGATGCCGTTTGTGAAACTAAGTCAGCCTCTGCTGTGCAACAGTGGAAAACTAAGACCCTCACCATTTCCTCTGCCCAGTTTACTAAATCAGAGGTGTCTCATGATGACCTTGAAAATGCTTGAGATTAATCTTACTATCACAGTTAGACCAGCTTATGGACTGTGTTTGTATAAAGATGGAGATGCCCCAGTGTGGCGAGAGCATCATATCTATTTCAGGAGAAGTTGTTGTACTCTGCTAGAGGCCGTGATTCTGGGGGAAGCAGTGGCCTCATCCTTCCTCTGCATCATCCCAGCCACACGTCTTCCTAGCTGCTCACAGCTGGAACTCCTGGGCATGTGCAAGAGGGGTTGTTAATACCGTGGTGAGGAAAGGACCATTTACTAGTCTAGAAGGTGAGCCTTTTACACAGTTTTTACAAGCCCTAAATAAAGCACCAACCTCCAGAGACAATGTGCTCTACAGGAAATGCAAGCCCAACTGTAAGCTAGAGACCTAAGATTTGCGATCGCAGGTTAACCAAATCTGTGTATATGCATAGACTAGGGATTTTTTTTAAAACTGATGATTTGTGGATTTTAAGTCAGTTCATCAGCATTTTGAAAATATCACTGGGCATGCCAAGTAAAAGAAAAAACATTGTTCTATGAACTTTTGTTTTCATTGTATGTGTATAGTATAGTATTTTTAACCCTGGGTTGCAGTAAAGCACAATTCAGAAAGCCACAGATAAGTATTTTCTCTTTTTTCATATATGATATTTTTAAATCTTTGATAAGCTTCTTCATCAACTAATAGGTCAAAAATTTTTTCATTATTGAGAGAGACCTACGATTTTAATTGACATACAATTGTACCAATTTGTCACATACTGTGTACTAACAATTCTTAAAACCTGTGGAGTGTGATACCATCAAGTTAGAATTGAGTATAATAAATGCAAACATGGGAGAATGTTGGAGACAGCTTATACAGCAGGTCCTCTCGTTCTAATAGTCTTCCTGCATTTAGTCTCCAGAATTTGCAGCCCTTCCCGAGTCCCATGGCCATGCCCGAGATGCCTATTCCTTCGGAACTCTGGTGGACAGCTTGCTCCCCATCTTGAATGAGCAGGGTGAGTTGGAGCTGTATGGCCACATGCATAGACTAAGTAGGAAAGCACCTGACCCGCTCCGTGTGAACTCCAAGGACTACAGTCTTTAGTGTAGTGGGGAACCTGCTGCTCACCACACTGTTTACTTAGGACAGATAGCAGCACCAAAAAGGGGAGAAGCTCGGGGTTCCATAAAGATGAATAATAAAAAAGAATTTTAAGTAGGAAGCATTTTGAACAGTGGCTGTCCCCATCATATGTGACTCTTCAGAGTTTATTATTGAGTTCTCCTGTGGCTAATAAATGCCCTTAGTGACTGAGATGTAATGGCCTACTTCTGCTAAAATTTACTCAGTGTTTTTTCCTGTGTGTCCTCCTAAAGCCCATCTACTTAAAGACAGTTCTCTGTTCCCTTCTGTGTTCTCTAATGGCATGCTCGGCAGCCTGTGTCACTCCCCTGGGGTGGACTCTAGGACATTAATTCTGCACCTGTGAAGGTTACTGAGGTGTGTGCCACATTAGGTCCTTTTTAGTGGCCTATCTCACTCTGCTGACACTTCCCCAGTGCCAGTATAGCTCCTGCCATGATGTGCAGTGTTCTGGTATTAGAACGCTCTGGCTATCAACTTGAATATTTGCGAATTAAAGCCTAAGGCTCTAAGGCATTGTTGTTATGCACCTATAAATGTGGCAAATGTGTACAAGAGTTGGAAATACAGGCATTCAGTCAGCACCGTGTTGAGAAGGAGCTGCCCAAGAAAGATCTTCAAACCTGCCCCCTTTTGAACCACCATTTTGTACATGGTGGGTTAAAATGAGGAAATGGGGGAATGCAGAAGGGAGGCACCTGCAGCCGTGTGCTGTGCTGGCAGGGCAGCGCTGTGCACCTGCTGCAGATCTGGCCTGCACGACGCCAGTCATGCAGCAACAGCGGGGCTCTGTGTGCTTGGGCTTTTGCAGGTTGGTTTTTGCTCTCGTCAGTCTCCAGCTAGAGAGGTCCGGAAAGAGGGAGAAGGCACTGGAACTAACTTAGCTCTGGATTTCAGTTTCAGCGGGTGTTCTCTCCAGCTTCCTACAGACCTTGCACTCAGCTCTACTGAATCCCACGCCGACCTGTCGACCAGCGCTCAGCACCCTACTGTCCCATGACTTCTTCAGGTGAGGCTTCGGGTGACGTGATGGAGAGAGACTGGCTGCCTCTCAGGCTCCCATCACAGAAAGTTTTAGGAATTCTTAGCTGTCATGAAGGAATTTTATCCACATTCACTATTATAAGTGATTTTGATTATAAGGAAACTAATCTGTGTGGAATAGTTTACAGTTACATGTTAATTGATAAACGTGGCCTCTGTCTGCTGCCACTGCATTACTAGTTCTCTAGTACGTGTTGGGAGGGGGCAAGTTGTGTTTCTTCAGCAGTAGACTGTTTCCTTTGTCCCAGAACATGTAGAAGTCAGTTAGAAGGAAGGACACAGTGTAAATACTTTCCTGGGTTCACAGATGGTATTGAATTGTCAAGAGTACTTTAATTATATGGTCTTTCACTTCTCTAACCACAGACCTTGTGCCCAGGTTAGTTCCATGTTTATGAATTTTATTAGCAAACCTAACTTTTTGTGTTGTACTCAGAGAGCTTGGCAGGAAGCAGAGAAAAAGACAGCTGTGCTGCTCCTGAGATGAGCCACCTCTAGAGAGGCACATTTTGGGGTTGCTACTGAATTAGTGCCTGTAGTTATCAGGAGTACAGTTGCCATTTATGGTTTTAACTTTTTCCAGTGTAGCAGATTACGGCCTCCATTTAGTTCCTAAATTGATAAATACAATTGTATATATTTACATGTACAAGTCTTTCAACAATTATTATTATAAACATGTATTTTCTTGTGTTTGCAGATGATTCTTAGAAATCCTCTATTTTTCATGATATAAAATCTCTACAAAGATAATTCACTGTAGTAAATTGTCACCACTATGTGTAATACAAGTTCTCTAAGAAATGTGTATTAATATAGAGGGGAAAAAAAAACGAAAGAGCACTCCAACCCACACTTGACACATCCACTGTGGTGAGGAGTCAATGTCGGAGGCCACAGGATGAAGCAGGTCAGCACCCATCCCTGAGGCAGCTGAGTCAGTGTCATTCGATTCAAGACACTGTGCTTAGGTTCTGCTGCAGAGGATTGGGCAGACACTGATGACGGGTTCAGGATGCACAGGTCCACTTAGGTTTGACATGAATCTTTAAAGTCTAAAAAATCGAAACTCTGAGACAAATTTCATAACCTAGAAATATCAAAGGGAGAAACAGATTGTGATAGACACATAAAATAAATGTAGATAGTCTATTATTTCAGTCCATGAAGTATAAACAAGTTGTCCTTATAAGAAGCTAAAGTTTATGAACACATACTCATACATTTCTAGACCATATATGGTACCATTTACAGTGAGACACGAACACATGAACTAGGAAAGCTCACAGGCACACATATTCCTGGTGCTGCATACAGCGCTGCAGGTGTTGCCCTGGAACAGCACGCGATATGAATCAGCTCCAGAAAAGTGGAAAAATGGCTGATGCAGTACAAAGAGGTTTTCTGAGTTTCTTGTGTATTTTCCATTGTGTTTTAACTCATGCACCATAGAAAAGTATGTTAGTAGACTGTTTTCATTAAAGCATCTGGTCAACAAAAGGCTAATGGGAATTAAGTTTTGGAGAAGTCAGAGTCACGTGACTTTCTCTGCGGAAGAAGTCATGGAAGTCAGTGCCCTGGTGATGAGTTGTCCAAGGGTCACATGGAGATGTTAACATGAGAAGGGAGGTAGTAACTGTGCATGCCTTGTCGGCTGCCAAGCTTGTGTGCTTAACTGCCATGCAATAGCTCCCGTATGGTAAGTTGTGAGCCATGCTCTTTTGGAACAGATTACAGGTTTGGGACCATCTGTGGATTCCTTAGAAACTGACCTTGCCTGAGCACAAAAGTCAGAAAAGTGAGAAAATGCTTGTGACTCCTACAGAAATTCCACTTCCCAAAGGAGAGACTTGGGAATCAGCAGCTTCTTTGAAATGTTTATGCCATTTCCCAGAACAGTCCAGTGCCAGTGTCCTGTGTCAGTGGAAAGTTGGGGGAAGTATGCTTGCTACTGAAGCCTAAAGTACACTAGCATGCGCGTCTCCATTTATAGCCTCTGGCAGATGTTTCTGGAATTATGAAGACATTAGGCTTTTCTAGGTTTGCTCCATTACATAAATCTCATCAGCTACTTTGAATCTTTCATATGACATAGAGAACATTTCTTCATTGAAAATGGTGGTATGGTCTGTGATAATAACATCAATACTTAACATGCCTTTAATCTATTATCCTATTTTATTGCCCTGCATTTAGGAATGATTTTCTAGAAGTTGTGAATTTCTTGAGAAGTTTGACATTAAAAAGTGAAGATGAAAAAACTGAATTTTTCAAGTAAGTTTAGAAAAAACTTAGGTTTGCTAACTTGAATTAAACCTGTGTTAAGCATGTTGGTGATGTAGGTAGGGGTGGATCAGACTTCTGACTTCATAGTGGTTACTGAACTTTGCTACATGCCCAGGATAGATTGTACAGGTAATGCAGGCATAGCTAGACTGGTAACTTAAGTGTGAAGATGGGTGCAAGTCTTGCTTTGCTGGGAAGGAGGTCTCAGGACAGAGAAACAGGAGTGAACACACAAAGGCTGTGATTTGTGTAGCAAATGGCAAGCTCTTGAATCCTGCTGGAGGGCAAATTTCAAAACAAGAACAGGTAAGAGGTGGTCCTCGTAGACGATATTTGTAGGTAGTAGACTTCTTGCATTGAAACCACTGAGGGGATGAAGGCGTCCGTGAGATAGCTAGATCTCTCTTTACTGAGCATTCCGTTCATGGGGGCAGGCTTAGACACGGGAGGATTGGTTAGTATGTATTGTTCAGTCAGCGGGTAAGAGGTTGGTGTAGGGGTACTATGGACCAGTGAAGGAGACACTGAGGTATGAAAGAAAAGTTAAAGCTGAGGGGAAGAGCCAGTGAGGGAGTGGAGGGAACACTTGGAATTGAGGCTGGAGACTGAGCAACTGGCGGGAGACGCGGCGGTAGAGCAGTGGCCCAGGAAGGCCGTGTATTAACACTAAGTGTGTAACAAGCAAAAGTCAAAGAACAAATAGCCAGAGGTAGATGGATGAGTAGCACAGCGAGCAGAGAACAGAGGTCACATGACCAGACTGGGGACTAACCATCTCTTTCCTGTTAGATTTCTGCTGGACAGAGTGAGCTGCTTGTCAGAAGAATTAATAGCTTCAAGATTGGTGCCTCTTCTGCTTAACCAGTTAGTGTTTGCTGAGCCAGTGGCTGTTAAGAGTTTTCTTCCATATCTCCTTGGCCCTAAGAAAGGTGAATTTTTTTTCCCAGTGTTATTAGTTATGAAGGAGTTTGGCAATTATTAGTTCATTTTTTTGAATGGAGTAATATTGCAGTATTCTAAAGTTAATGTTTGCCTCTAAAGGCACAGAAGAGCTACTCCTCCCTAATATGATAGCTTGAACTCTGACTCGGGTACCAAAGCCCACGGGTAAATATGGAATATCTTTATGGAACATCCTACATCGTAAGTGGTTACATACACACACACACAGGCACACACAAATGCAACATGGTATGTATATGGACCTTTAATGGATAAGACATACGCTCTCAGGTATCTTTTCAGTCATCCTTAGACCAGTGCTTCCTAAGTTACTGAAAGCAACCCATGTTGTATTTTTAGTAAAAAGGTTGAAAATCTCCAAGACCATTTTTTATTTCTTGGAACTGTGGGTTTCAAAGCAATTGCTTTGAAACTTTATAAGATTTGTAAGACTATAGTCTTGGATGGTAACACATCAGGTTAAAGAACTTATTTTTAATATGCTAAAGAATTTAGAGTTAGGTTAAATCCTGCTTTAAGAATTCATTTGTTTGTTTATCGAGATAGGGTTTCTCTGTATAACCTTGGCTGTCCTATAACTCACTTTATTGACCTGTCCTCCTGCCTCTGCCTCCCAACTGCTGGGACTAAAGGCCTGCACCACCACTGCCTGACTCATTCTCTTAAATTTAAAAAGAAAATTAATTTTATGTATATGAGTGTTTTACTTATATGTATGTGTATTACATATAAGCCTGGTCCCCATGGAAGATACAAGAGGGTACTGGATCCCCTGAAACTGGAGTTAGGAATTATTGTAAGCCGCTTTGAGTGCTGGAACCTGAACCTGAGTCCTCTGCAAAGCCATTGTTCTTAACTAACAAGCCATCTCTCCTGCCCCCGAGTTCATTGCCTTAAATGGTGTCATTCCAACAGATACTATGGGTAGTTAATTTCAATTTAGAATTGCATTTTTTTTCTGGGTTGAACATATTTAGTCTTGAATGTTCCCTTACAGCTCTCCATCCTCACTTGATTTGAGGGAGAACCCATGAATCATCTCAGTGTTCTTTAAAGATGAGTTTTGCCCCACCCACTAACCAGGGCCAGACAGGATGCAGCAGCACTTGAGACAGTAAAGCCTTTAAGTAATTTTGAATCCACATAAGAAATCCCTTTAGCTTGGGGCTTAAAATTCTAGACAGATAGATAAAATATGTGTAAAATTCTGGACTCAGTTGACGACCCTTTCCCCTGAATGACTTGTCTGTACCTTCTGATGCCGGGTAGAGAACGCACCAGGAGAGACTCCGTGCTTGCTCTCGCCAGCACTCTTCCAGTCACGGGTGGTCCCTGTGCTGCTCCAGTTGTTCGAGGTCCACGAGGAGCATGTGCGGATGGTATTACTGTCCCACATCGAAGCCTACGTGGAGCACTTCACGCAGGAACAGCTGAAGAAAGTCATCTTGCCACAGGTTAGGACCACGCTGGCAGTGGGAAGATGAGAGTGCACAAGACTGCTGCCACCTTAGGAAATGAAAGGAGGGAAGAAGGTTTTCAGATAATAGTTCAAAGCCTTGAGACAGTGATTGAGTTTAAAAGTTACTAGGATATAAAAAGGTGAAATTATATTTTCATTCCAGTCTTCTTGACCAGTCAATTAACATAAGATGTTTAGTCTTAGTCTGTGAGCAGCTATGATTCTGTTTGCTCATCTTGTAGGTAGATGGATAAGACAAAAACAAGCCTAAGCAGACCGGTCCATGGCCCTTCACTAGCATTTGTGCAATAATTACATTATGATAATTACCACAGAGAACATGAGATTGTTAGCAGTGATTGCCAACCATAGGGAATGTTTATCCACCATAGGGAATGTTAGGATTTGCTTGCCCAAGGTTTGTAATCATTTTTTTATGCCATAAAAAATTATCAGAACTGGCTGTGGCGGTGCATGCCGTGTAGACTTCGGGAGTTCAAGGCTAGCCTGATCGACGTATTGAGTTCCAGGATAGCTAGGGCTGTTACACAGGGAAACCCTGTATTCCTCCCCCCCCCCAAAAAAAAACCCACAATGGCACGGATCAAAATAACAAAAATATACTGAAGCACTGGAAAACGAAAGTGGGAAATCAAGGTGCAGCTGCTTGCTTCTAAGGGCCTGCAGATTATAAGCCTTGATGCTCCCAGAAATGATACTTAGTTTACGTATCTTGTTGGGCAGCTGTATCAGGCAGTCCACACCCATTTTCATGGAGCCTTTGCTCTGGGGCTGGCTCATAATTTGCTTATTTGGGAGTGGGGTTGGCAATCCGTGATGGACTGGAAGGACAAAACATTGTTTCTTTCCCATAGTAAGTTGAACTGCTGAGGAATGTCTACGAAAATATTACTTATTTAAAGCATTATGGCTGCAGGCCAATTGCTCTTCTCCAGGAGGCAGAGGTAGTGGCTGTCTGCACTCATGACCAATTTTGCTCCTAGGTACTACTGGGCCTTCGTGACACCAGCCATTCCATTGTGGCAGTTACTCTTCGTAGCCTGGCGGTGCTGGTATCTCTACTTGGACCAGAAGTGGTTGTGGGTGGAGAAAGAACCAAGATCTTTAAGCGTAGTGCTCCAAGTTTTACCAAAACTAGTGACCTTTCCCCTGAAGGTAAGATTCAACTTTATTTTAGTAAGTTTTTATTATTCTATGATACAGGTTTTATTTTGAGGTAAATGGTCAAGCATGAGGATAGTTCAGTTTCCCTTTTCAGACTCTCATACTGGGTACAAAGTGACCTTTAATGGTTCAGTAAAATTCCTTTTTTAAACCCACAAAGGGATACAGAAACTACACACTCAATATATGTGGATTTTATAGGATTATATTTAATAATGCTGTGCCCAGCTCTATAGCTTATTTTCATGTATTGTATATTAAAGATGTGTTTCGAGGTCAATACAGAAAAAACTCACTTTTACACCTATTTCACTGAATCCAATTCAGTGATTTATAGCCATAGCTGTTGTATCCACTGCTAGATTTTTAACCAGTATATAATCTGTAGTACCATAAATATCCTTGGGGATGCAACGTTATTATATGGAGTTCCACTGCCATAGGATAAGTCAGTCTCAGAAGGAAACTTTATGGGTTAGAGGATATATTTGAATTTTAGTAAGGACTATTAAAGACCATTGTTCTTTTTAACGCTAGATCCTTAAGTTCTTTTGATTTTGTTGGATAAAAGCTATTTTGAGTACTTCAGGAAATCTTTGATTTTGGTTTGTTCCCACTCTATTCTATGTGGGAGGCAGCACAAGAACTTTATATCAACAATGTCATTGCCTTTTTGTTAATTTGTATGACCTTGAATATGACCATGATTTCATTACAAAATTCTGGTCTCTCTAATGCAGTTCTTTGGCTTGTAGTGCTAGGCCCTGAGGGCTGAGGGTGAAGAAGAGAGAGGTGCTAGAGAGAGCTGAAGCCTTATTATGACAGTTGACTCCCCTTACCCTAGCTTTAAGGTAGGGGAAATATTCAGTGTAATTTTACTAAATCTTTCTGATCAATATCCAATCTTGAATATATGCTTTCTGGTAAACTGTTAAAGACAGCTGCTTTCCTCATTCAAGGTCGGATATCCATAGCATAACTTATTTTAATTATTTTCAGCATTATAATTTTGTGGTATTGTTATTAATATTGTTCACTCTGTACTCTTATACTAGCCTTTTATTCTTAAAAGAGTCAGAATCAAGGGCTTAGATTGCTACCAAAATGATTTTAAGAACTATAACTTACCAAGGTTTCCTAAAAATTTTATCTATGTTATGCTTCATAGTTCTGTCCCATCCCCACCATGTTCAGTAGACACAACCTGTCTTATGTACCAAAAATAAAGAGTTGTAAAGATGTTAATAAAGACGTAGCGGAAAATGTTTTGCAAATAAGTATGAGGAAGTGGTAGCTGAGTAAACCTAGATTTCTTAGCACCTTGATAGCATTTAAGAAAATGTGTTTCAGACTTATTTGGGGGCTGGAAAGATGGCTCAGCAGTTCAAAGAACAAACTAGAACTACTCTTGTAGGAAACCCAAGTTTGGTCCCTAGCACTGGCTTCTAACTCCAGGTCCAGGAAATCCAGTGCTTCTAGCCTCTGTACTCACCTGTGTATACCCACACACAGACAAACACATAATTAAAAGTGAGTCTTTGAAAAATAAAGTGGATTGGAGAGATGGCTCAGGAATTAAAAGCACCTGCAGTAAAAGGCTAATACCCCAAGTTCAATTTTGGGAACTCAGATAAAATAGAACCAACTACGTGGCAGTCCTTTGCCTCCACACCTGCACTGTGGCATTCACCACCCAGAATGTGGGAAAGACCCCGCAGTAAAAAATTTTTAAAACAACTTACTTGAGCATCCATTTTTAGATACAATTACTAGGTAAGACTGCATCTGTATTATTTAGAGACTTATGCCAATGAGTGTGAGAATATTCAGTCAAAGATCTAATGATGAGCTAATTGTGGCATAGTATGTTTGCTTCCTTTGAGTTTAAGTGTATTTGGATATTTTTAAGTAATTAGACTTTATGCTTGCTTGCTCTTAACATTTTATGAGACTAATTCTTGGATATCCCATAGGTGATCAGTTTTCTCACTCTATTAAATTCCCTATGAATGGAATCTCAGATGTGAAAATCAACTCAGAGGACAATGGAAACCTCCCAGCAGGTTCTAGTAAGCCTGAGGAGTGGCCTGACTGGAGTGAGCCTGAGGAGTCCGAGCAAACTGCCAGTGTTCAGATGCGGCCCCACGAGCCTTGTGCAGAGTCCCAGCACAGGAATCTGAAGGCAGAGGAGTGCTGGGATGACTGTGAGTCTAGTTCTGGTACCCAAGTAGACACAGTGGCTGCCGCCTCTGCTGCCACGCCTGTTACCTCAGGAGAGCAGAAGCCCACTGCAGCAAGGCTTCCTCCCACTCAGCACTCTGCGCCTTTGAAATGCAGCCCTTCCTCAAAGACCAGTCACACACAGCATGGGGACGTTAGACCACCAGAAGCGTCCCAAGAAAGACCCCTTAAAGTTCGGTCACAACTTGGTTTAGGAGAAGAGTTCACCATACAAGTAAAAAAGAAGCCAGTACAAGATCCTGAGTTGGACTGGTTTGCAGATATGATCCCAGATATTAAACCTTCAGGTACTTTCCTTATTTTGCCTGAACTGAGGACAGAAGTGATGGTCCCTGACAAGGACGACGTCTCCACAGTGATGCAGTTTTCCTCAAAATTTGCTGCAACAGAACTGACTGAGGTAAGTTCATTCTTTGAACCAAATGTGCTAATCAGGGTTTCCCTTGAAGGTCCTAGTTAACAATAAACAAGTATTTTTCTCAATGAAGGTATCATACATAGCTAATTAAAATGATCAAATTAAACCTAGAATCAATAAAACCAGTTCCTATAAATGATTTCTTTTCATGGTTATTGAAAAAAAAAACAACACTTATCCCTCAGTGTTGATATGACAGCTATTGTCATGTACGAAGTTTATAGTTCAAAACTGTTTAATCACATTGCCAAACTAAAATCTTGGGGTTGGAGATGGCTCTGTGGTTAACAGTACTGGCTATTCTTTTAAAGGACCCAGGTTTGAGTCCCAGCACCCTTAGAATGCCTCACAACTGTCTGTAACTCCAGTTCCAGGAGATTCAGGTGCTCTCTGACCTTTACAGGCACCAGGCACACACGTGGTGCATAAAAATGCATACGCACGAGACACCATACACATCAAATTTAAAAGAAACCTCCATTTGTGTTATACCATGCGTAGGTCTACCTCCTGTACAAGTAACTCCTTGACTTAGGAATCTGACCAGTTTTACTGGATGTGGCATGTAGCATTACAACCAATGCAATCTCGCTTTAGCTTTTGGTTGGGAGGCGTCGGTCTCTTCTGGTATTATAAACAAATGGGTCATTTTTAAATGCTCGGGGTATATAGTTTGTCTCAGATAGTCGGTGTGTTCTGTTGCAGGGAGAGGCAGAAGGCTGGGAAGAAGAAGAGCTGACCTGGGAAGATAACAACTGGTGACAATGAGGGAGAGCTTAAACTTCAGGAAGAATTCTAAAAGAAGTAATACCTCAAAGCAAGCTGCATGGATGTTAAACCCCAAAGCAGCCTGAGTTCCCCAAACCAGAAGCTCTTTTTGCAGTCTGTGCCAACTAACTCAAGCATGAGACCAACTTCGAGTTGCTGACTAAGCCGTGAGTGGCAGAAGGCTCTCAGTTCCAGATTCTAGGAAGAGCCTGTGTGCACTTGATCGAGGCCAGTTCCATGAAAAGTAAGTAGCTAAAGTGCTTTTTCCAGGAAAATTCTGGAAATAAAGAAAATAAAAAAACTCAAGCCGGTAAGCTTAATTTTGTGCCATTCCTTTAAAAGAGTAAGCTCTACTATGAAATAATGACTTACTGAAAAAAAAAAAGTCTAGCTGTAAATTCTAACTTCAAACTGCTAAGGTTCCTTAAGCAACTTATTTGTTTACAGTTTATCATCTGAGTAAAAGAAAGGTCCCTCCTTTGGACCTACCTAGGCAGTTACTGTTTCACGTGTATTACACTGTACCAAAGTTCTCAATGAGAAACATCCCCCATCTTGTTCTGTGTCAAATAAAGACTATTTTCACATTTATAAAAGTTTTTATATGTGCAATGAAAATGTACAAACATAATTTACATTCATAATTTCATTTACAATCCATCTAGGCAAGGCGTTGATGGTTGATGAAGAATCAATCAGAGTCCATTCATATGTTCCCCTCAGGTATACAGCATTTTAGCTTCTCAATCTTTTCTTTCAGTGCCTCCAGTTCCCCTGGCAGCCAGGCTGGAGCAGGGGCCTGTTGGAGTAACCACTCAGTTGTGTCCAAAGCCCCTACTGCTGCTTGAAATGCTGACCTATACTCTTCTTCAAAGGGGAACTCATGCCGGGCTCTTTTCGTACAAGGCTGAGAAATAAGGAAAGCATAAAAAAAGTAATGCCGTAATGCTCATTCTGAAAACAATTTAAGAGAAATTTGAGAAAAACTGCAGTCATGGGATCCCAAAGTGCCCCCTCCCCATCTCTAATCATATTTCATCCTAATCACATGTGGCAGCCCAGGAGAACCCTCTTATGCTAGGGTCCCCCACTGACAAATGCTGTCTTGCCCAACAACTATCACTAAGTATTCTCTTAAAACACCATTAAGAGAAATAAAATGTGATTTCCCAAATACTAAGTTTGTAAATGATGAGAACCACAGGCTCAAAACATCTTGCACAGGGAGGGGGAAGAGGGACTGAGACCCAGACATATTTAATAATCAGTTTTCCAAAGGGGTGTCACAATTTAAACTCACAGGGCTTATGAGTATAACTGGTTTATATTGAACTTTATATACTTCAGGCTTACAGCTACATCTTAAAAGAAAAAACAAAAATTACTATTGCCTAAAATCCCAAACTATAATTGTACCTAGGTTAAAAAACACTATTTTGAATGTACGTAGTAGTGTCCAATTTCTTCCAATTAATAGGTACATGTGATAATTAGAGAAAAGTGATTGAGGCTAGCTGGATGAGGAGACAAGAACTAAACATGCTGATTGGTATCTATGGGTCAGAAAATACATTTATGTCATCATTGATACAATATGTAACTTCTAATAATAAAGAGTATATTTGTTAAAATGTTTACAACCATTTTTTTTGTAGTTCTTGTCTGTTGATAACACTTCAGGAAAGATGTATGGTTTTGTTTTTGATATGCTTTTGACCATAAAATGGGAATTTTATATGTTTAGACTTTGATATTCAACATGGGGACAAGAATCAAACTAGTTTATCAATAATGAACAAAGACGTTCCATTGTTTTACTATTAGCCATACTGAAAAGCAGTCCATACCTGTAAAGCCAACCCATCTGCTTCCTCTATAGTGGGTTCCAAGAAAGCAACTTTCTGTTTCACATGATCCACTCTGGCAACTTCAGTTTCATCTACAAATCCTGTCTGTCAAAGATCATCAAAAATCACTGACAAATTAGCATTCTCTACTAGATACCAAGGGATATGAGATTTAGAAAAGGAAACCAACTAGTTTATGTATATGTCGGTAAATGATGACTATTAAACCACTCTGGCTTGACCTGTGACCAGGCAAATTCTAGGTTAGGTAGACTCACCTTTAGTGCAATCTGAATACAATCCCCTTAGAGCAGTGGTTCTCAATCTTTTTAATGCTGCGACCCTGTAATACCTCATGTTGTGGTGACTATTTCACTGCTACTCCATTGACTGTAATTCTGCTACTGTTATTAATCATAATATAAATATCTGACATACAGGATATGTGATATGTGACCCCATGCTGCAAAGATTTTGACCATTAGGTTAAGGACCAGAGTGTTCTAAGTGCCTTAGAACATTTTTCACTACAGAATTAAGTATTATCTCTCCAAGAAAAATAAGTATGTTACACATTCAACTTACTGTACAGGGTGTGGTGCTGGCAAAACAATTACTTACACAGGCACTTAAGCCGGGCAGTGGTGGCGCATGCCTTTAATCCCAGCACTCAGGAGGCAGAGGCAGAGGCAGAGGCAGACGCAGACCTGGTCTACAAGAGCTAGTTCCAGGACAAGATCCAAAAGCAACAGAGAAACCCTGTCTTGAAAAATCAAAAACACAAAACAAAAAAACACCACATGTACTTAAAGTTCAGCCTAGATAACAACTGTAACACATCTATTTATAATGTTTAGTAACAACTCATATAAGTAATTTATAAAATACATAGAACCCAGTTAAATATGTGCTAAAGTATAATTTATACTTCCTGGTATTCTAAGTCTGGTTTGTCAGGTCTTAATATTTCAATTATTCCCTTACATCGTAACACCAGAATATATGCTGGATCCCTATACTTAAAATTTTTGACTGTACTGAACAATTGTAGAAACACCACTTTAGACACCCTTAATTCCAGCACTTGGGAGGCAGAGGCAAGAGGATCTCTGAGAGCAAACTTAGCTAGGGCTACACAGTGAGATCCTATATACAAAAATAAAGTCTGTCTCTGTATATTAGAAAAACATACTGATACCATACAAACCATAATACTAGGCCTTATAATCATGAATAGCCAATTATGATCAGCAATGTTAGGGATTCACACTTTTTTATCTTAGTGCCACGGTAATCAATGCTATTATATCTCAAACTTTTAGGTACATTGACTTAAAGTGATTTACTTCTCTGATGTACGTTCTTTTGTTTGTTTGTATTTTCAAGACAGTTTCTCTGTGTAACAGCTCTAGCTGTCCTGGAACTTGCTCTGTAGACCAGGCTGGCCTCCAACTCACAGAGATCTACTTGCCTCTGCCTCCTGAGTGCTGGGATTAAAGGCATGTGTCACCACTACCCACCTAATGGACGCTCTTAACTGATTCATACAAGTTGTGTTTCCCTTTACATTTATACAAAATGCTTCAGAATTCTTTCAAACACTCAGATACTATGGGGATAGGCTCCAAGTATGAACATGAAATTCATGCCTGAGGTAATTTTATACAATATTTTTGTAAAATTAGTAAAATAGTAAATATTACTAAAATGAGTAATTTTATGCATGACATACATTTTCACTACAAGGTATATCCTATGTTTTTGCCTCATATTGGTGGCTCACAGAGTTTCAGATTTTGAAGTACTCTGGATTAGGGATGTTTACTTAGCCTATCTGTATTAGCATTGTGCAAAACACTCAGTAATAAAGCACTTGTCTAGCATATGCAAAGCTCCGGTTCAAACCCCAGAACCAAGAGGAAGCTAAGGTGATTACAAATAGATAATTTTAAAAATGATAAAAAATAAAACATGGGCTTTACAACATAAATACCTTCTCCAGAAAGGCTACAACTTTGTTCTTGATATCTTCAGAACTGAGACACTGTGGAACTAGCTCTTCATGATTTGTTACCTATTAAAAGATGAGTAAACAAGACAGATCACGCATAGTTCAGCAACTTAATAAGTTTTTTTAACTACCTTACCTGAAAACTCATTTTAAAAGGAAGTAGTACCCAAGGATTCTCAGAGTTCTACAAAGACTTATGTAATTTTGGCTTCTCTATATATGGTGCTGCAAGGTTTAATTACTTATTAAACCCAAGGCGTGACTGCACAGAAATGGGTCAGAGCAGTAGCAATTTCAAAGGAGACCTTCCCCCAGTGCTGCTGAAGGCAGTGTCTGACTCAGGCAGTTGACTCCAAATGTTTAATCCCCGCTAATCAGAGAACCTTGGGAAAAGTCACTTCATTTCTCTAGGCCTTATAATAAGGTTTTGTAAACATACAAATATCTTCTCAGCAGAAAATTTCACAACTGAGATACATAAATAGCTCAGTATTTTTAAGTGTTTTAGGATATTAGAAGTATTAAATTATGGGAGCATGGGGACCTTGGGAGATGGTTGAAGGGGAGATGCAGGGAGGGGAGAAGAGAAAAATGTAGAACTCAATTTAAAAAAAATCAATAAAAATATTATTTCCTAAATAAAAATTTAAAAAGAAATACTAAAATATACAGAGGTCAATATGATAAACTGCTCTTACCTCAGCAAACTGAGTAAATGCCTCCAAAGTATGTTGCTCTAGCAGCCAATTCCTGTTGGCTAGCAGTAAAGCAAAGATAGAAGGCAGGTTGGGCAGCACCTTGTCCTACAAAGAGAAACAAACCTTACTGTAGAAAAAACCTTCAATACAGAATACTAGTCTACTTTTGGGACACATTATGTTCTTCTATTCCTTGCTCAAATTCTCCTAATAACTCCCAATTTCCTTTAGAGTGAAACCAAGGGTTTACAATGACCTGCAAGGCTTTGTACTTGTTCTCTATACCCTGCTCAGAACATGGCTTTCTCCTTCCCTTTCATATTTATACTCACTTATCACCCAAGTAAGGGCTCCCTCTTCTTATCCCTTCATACTGCCCCTTCTTCTCCTTTATTTCTCCCATAGCACTCACCACACTATGTGTATCACACTTTGTTGTCAGCTGCTTCAGCGGACTGAGAATGGGGTTACTACACCGCCAATAGTTAAAGAGTACATGTCTGAAAACAGCCTGGGCTACATGTTAAGACCTTTCCCAAAAAAGGATGACTGCTCAAATACAAGTTGGTATTTCTGTCAAAAGGAGAAAAGCTGCCACCATCTATATTTATCTCATGAATCACAAGTTGACATGACAGAAACGGGTGAATTAGTATCATTTTCTTGTGAATAATTAAAAGAAACCTTTTAGAATTCAACTTCAAGGATTTTTATTCATGTGTACTGAAATACAGCCCATCTTTGACTGTGAAAAGATTTTCACCAGAGAGCTTTTTACATTCTCCCCTTTGAAGGTAAAACAAAGACGAGAAGCTAGAAACCCTGGGATTTTATTATAACAGTAAAACAAAACTCCTGGCTTAAGAGAATCTAATTTTATAGGTGGTCCTAAACTTTGGTGGTAGTCTTCCCCTAGGTCACTAGAATATAATTTTGGAAGCAAAATACACATTTGTCATCTATACATACTTTACAGTATTATTAAAATACTGTCTCTAAAAGTAAATGCTGTTTCATGAATCTACCCACACAGTAACTCATTACCAAATTTCCTCA